CCCTTTTACATCCAAAGAGCAGCAGTTGCTGAGTCTGTGTAGACTGAAGATGAGTAGCATAAATATCCCTAGGCTCATCCACAGGGTTCAGATTCCCACCCGTAGCCAATCAGCTGAAGCTCTTTCCCAAAATTCAGGGCATCCCTGCCTTTGCTCCACAGGTGGATACTCTCTGCATGTTTGTTTTGATTTCAAACAAGAATTGCACAAGAAGTCTCTTTCATGCAGAGCAGAAGAGCTTTCTTAAGAAAAATAAGTTCCCAGTGCTGTGCTCTGCAGCATCTCTTTGGGACCTGCCAGAGAGGTATGAGGGGATATGCTTCCAAAAGAGGTTGAGAATGTTAAAGACATATATTTGACCCAAAAACCCCTTTCTCCCTTCATATGTCCTCTGGTAATGTGATGTGTGAGGAGTCACTACTTCAATATCAGCGAGAGCTTCCGTCTGCAAATTTGACTGACCTCAGCTGTATTAAAAGATTAAATTATTATGTAAGTCAATTCTCCTTAACCACTTTTACCAATGAGATAGGTGTCAAAATAGCTTCTGCTGCACATCATTCACTGTCTCATCCCTTATTTGATGAAATATATGTGTCTATATGTATTTTCAGGTCTTCCCTTGGTCCAGGGATGACTGTCCACTAGGTGTTAACATTGTTTGTGAGCCAATATTTTCTCATATGGGCATAGCCTAATAGTTATTATTTCCAAAGCTCCAACATTACCTGCTGTACATCAGCCAAAATGCTACCATCAGAATTTATGAGTACATTCTACTTTGCTTGCTTGAAATCACCTAGAAAGTCTCACTGATTCACACATGAAGAATGACAGATTTATCAGCCCTGCAGAACTAATTGTTAAGTGCCTGGCAGTCAGTTCTTGGATACAAGAATCCTATTTTTGCCTGGATTTTTATTTTAATTTCTCTAAAGTGGATTGTAGGACCTTATGTCTGGAAAGAATTTTCTGGGCACTCCAGACAGTACTTCATATAATCCTCATCAAGGGCACTAATGGATTGATTCCTTTGTCAGCAGCACTAGTGCACATGTTTGGTTGTGGAACAGAAGCTCCACCTGGGAGCTGGGGACCAGTGAGGGCTGCCCAGAGAAGAGTCTGGCTGCCTTCTTTTCACCACTTGCAGAGTCAAATCCTGCCGCCAGGCAGGCTGCTCCAGCTTTTGAATTTTAGCTTTCACTGAAACAGTTACCTGAGAATCTGAGGGGAGTACATTCAACTTCCAAAGACTGAAGGAAAGCCACATAGCTAAACCAGAAATTAAAATTAAAATGATGCAAAATATATTTGAAATCATTCTTCTGCGCCGTCTTGATGAAAGGCAGGAACAGGCACGGATATTAAGGAATTTAGACAAGATGGCTTTAAATAATTTATTTAACATTTCAGAAGGCAATCCATCAGGGAAAGCAAGATCACTGAGTGGGTGGTCAGCCACACTGGGTATCTTTTTAGGATATCCCAGAGAAATAGCTCATCATCTCAGCATCTCCCTGCCATCCACAGAGAGGTTGGAGAGCAAGGGTTCAGCTGGGAGACTTCTCCAGTCAGAGAGATGATAAGCTCTTTCAAGCTACACAAAGTAGCATCTGGCCTCCACACACTTCAAAATAACGTGTTTTGACTAGTGTGTCTTATTTGATAGGCTATCATGTCATGGGCTGGCACTAACAAGGGATGTGAACAATATGAAATGTCATGTTAGGCTAAGGATGAAAAAAATGCTGAAGAAATGCAAAAGATGTTGGCTTCATCAGAGTGACTTTTTAGATCACAAAAGTGCTTCAAGAAAAAGATTCTTGAATATAATTGATCTGGAGGGGGTATTTCTTTTTTGAAATAAAAAGGACAAGCATTTTGAGAAATGTGGCAGGAATTTATTTTGTCCAGAGATAGGAAAACTGATCCAGTCAGCCCAATTTTTTACCTCTGGTCTTTACAGCTGGCTTCTGCCTCAAATCCTGCCCATCACAAAAAGGTACAAGTCTGTCCTTCTGGCACAAATAAAACTTGCCCGCATTGTTGCCAATAACAATGCAGCAAGTGTAGTGTGTGAAGAGCAGCTACTGAATTTAACATTACTGAAACCTGAGTAACTTTGAATTTGGTCTGTGTCATTGCTTTATGCATACAGATCTGCTGTGCTTGGAAAAAAGTGGGTTTGTATTTAGCTTAGCTCTCTGTAGGTGTGAGGTTGGTGTGGTAGAGGGGCTCCTTAGTGTAGTGATACTGTAGTTTGTCTAGTACAAATTGCATCTAATACTGAATTTATAAATAATCCAAAGTTTTTATAAGGGTGGAAGTCTTAATTTATTTAATTTAGGTTTATGTTTTTTTAAGATATGTGCATTCTTGTTTGCTTCATTACCTCAGCATGATTTTTATTTATCCTCTCTTTTTAGAATCAGTTTATAGTTCTTGTTCATGGTGATGTAAACCCTGTGATACATTCATAAGAGTTAGTATCTCATCAACAGCTGGATTGCTGAAAAATTCTCAGGTCCTTGCAGAAATGGGAGCAGTCATTTTCAACATGAAGGGACTTTTAGAGCATGCCTGGGTGTTTGGTTCTCTACATTGGCTCTGAAAATAATGGATTTTGTAGTGAGAAAAATAACCTGTTTTGAGGCAAGGAAATTGTGTGTGTGTGTGTGTGTGTTGAAAATGTTTTTGCTGGGAGGGCAAATTTCTCAGTCTGAATGAAATGATGTTTTTATTGTGGTGTGTATTTCAAGTAACCTACATAGCAGATCAAACTAAAAATGTGGTTTTCCCCCTCTCTGCCTTTATATAAATCCCTAACTCTGTTGGAGGAGTCATCAGTCAAAATGAGATACAGATAATTTGTGTCTAAGTTTTGTGGGCTCTTCTGAGACAGGTGACAAGTGTTCCTGTATGAAGTGTTTACCCTATGAAGTGTTTATCCTACAAATGCTAGCAAAGCTTGGGCCATCTCATTTCAGATTCAGTAAAGCATTTTCCATTGCAACGTTATGTTTAGAGGTGTAATTACAAGTTCTGCATGATCCTAGATTTACTTTAAAGTGTGCCAGAGTCCTTGTTAAAGAAGGAATGGTTTCTGCCCACATGATTGCCAGCCCTACAGCCCACACACAGTGAGGGCATCTGCACATCCACATAGGTCCTAGTCCCCCTTTCTAGTCCCAGGTGAGTCTGTCCTGAAAGTTAAAATTTCCCTCAGTCTTGAAGAGAGCTTTTAAAAAAAAAAAATTACACCAAAGGATTTCATACTGTTTTAATCACACTGCTGGCTGATCTGAGAGAGGAGGGATTCTTGCACTGAGCAGTGGTGCACAGACATGGCAGAGGTACCTCAATAGCTGAAAAGGAACTATCAAAGATACACACACACGTGCATGTGCACACAGAGCAGTCTCCTGTTCTTCAGAGGGGAAGCAAACTTCCTCTGGTAATGGAGGATTTGAAGGAAATGGCATTATGTTTTCCACCATAGGAAAAAATGTGTATTAATAAGGATCCCCTACTTCTTGCTGCAGTTTCCTGGACAGAAATAGATTTGAATGTGGGCCATAGCAGAGGTCAAGGACACCCAGAACCCATCAGGCACAGTGCCCCCATGCCCCTGCACTGCATGGTCCCCAACAGCCTCCACCAGCCTTGCACAGGTATCCCAGTGTGATCAGGGAACAGGGAGAGGCACACGGGCTTGTGTTCAGCATATGTGCATTCAAAAAGATGCAATAATGGTCCAGAGTGCAGAAAATCCTAAGGAAGAAAGAGAAGCTAATTCTGTCAGCAGGGAGACAGAGGTTGCCTGTCATTCTCATTTGCTGGGGGCTGGTCCTTGCCTGTTTTCACATAGGGACAATATAACCAACTTTATTAGTGCAAGTGGTTAGAGACTCTTACAACTCTCCTTGGACAGCAGCGACAGAAAAGAAATTCATTATGAAAATCTGAATCTTGGATCTGCTGCACACACTTTTCCCAGAGGTGGGATAATACCTAAGCATGCCTGCTGCTGGCATGACTGGCTCGGAGGCAGAACACAAACTGCAATTGTTTTATAACACTTGGGGACTTCCTTTGGAAGATAAAAATGCTTCAACTTATTTGCGTGCAAGCTACATTTCCTCAGACATCCATCATGAGATTTATTCTTCTGTTCTTAATTAATCATGGCTAGAAGACACTATCACAGAAAAAGGAGTGTTAGCATTTGAGATATCATAAGTATTGGTTAAATGGAAGAATTTGCCAAAGCTACCCAGGTTAATTAACACCTTGGTGCCTACAAAATTCATGTGAGTTCGTGGTGGTAACACTGTGTTTCAGCCTGTGAAGTTGAGCACATACCTGTTTCAAAACGAAATGAAGCCTTCATTTTCCTGGCTGCATGAAGGGGTTTCCCTGGATTTGCAGTCTCAGTGACTCTTTAACTGCTGCAGAAGTAGGCTCAGAATGCCAAACTATTTTGAAGTGCTGGATGCTGTGGGATGTGAAGGAGGCCAGTGGACTTTGGGGCATGGGTGTGCAGCACTGATTATAAACTTCAGCTCTGGACTCCCACTCTGCTTCAGACATAAAATTGTCTTTCTGTATGTTCGGTTGAATTAAAAAATGTAGAATGTATATTACATGCAAATGTCCAGAGTCTCTCTCCCAACCTTGTCTCAGTTTGAGGAGACAGTCTATAAAGGAAAACAGAAATAATCAGGTATTTTGCAGGTGCTATTTTGTCACCAGATTTTGAATAGTCACATTATTTTCTCAGGTGTCTTGTTTGCTGTAACTTGACAGGAATTATAAAAGACTGAGATAAACCCTTGCAAATCTCACCAACCTGTTTGAAGGGGCAAACCCTTGCTTCCCGTGAACAACATCTTTCCCATCTTGCTCTCTCGTTTTCCTTTCTTTCATATGTTGAGTTCTTTCCATCACTTCACCTTATCCTACATGGTCAGGTTAACGTTCCCCTTCACCTGTGTTCACAGAGAATGCGAATAAACTGGAAGAAAGTGCAAGAGGGATCTACATCCCTTGTCCAGAGCATTACAACGGCTTCTGCATGCATGGCAAGTGTGAGCACTCCACAAACATGCTGGAACCGTCTTGCAGGTAACCCTTCTCCTACCAGCAAGGGAAGGCTACACCCATGGAAATACTGACTTACAGAAACACTTAATCTGGATCAGCTATGGAAAAATAATGGCAACCATGGCCCTTTGTGCTACAAAATCCATCAAACTTAAATTATTCAACGAAGTCCCAAAAGTGTATTGAGTTATGAACAATGTTAATTGACTGTAAAGCCATCCAGTAACCTCCAGTTATATTTAGATATGTTTTTAAAAGCCCTTCACAGAGCACTCAGACCTCACTAGGTGCCCTCCTCAGCCTGGGGGAGAGGAGTGCCACCAGTGCATGTCCCTGCTGTGGCAGGAGTGGAGCTCGTGGGGCAGCTGGCTGGGGCAGAGCGGGCTGCTTCAGCACGAGGGGATTTTGGAGGAGGTTTGGGCAGGGAGGAGGAATATAGTGAAAGCACTGTAGTGCTCCTGCAGTGAATGCCTCCCTGCACAGGGGCAGATATTGCTTCTGAAGTCCACACAGTGGCCAGGTGGCTGGAAAAGGACTGTTACACATGAAGCACCATTTTCCTGGGACACTGGGATGGGAGCACAGAGATATCAGCACATCAGACTCTCCCCAGGGCAGAACCTCAAGCCAGCTTCTCCCAGCTCGCACAAACAGCCAGGACATTTTGCTCTTTGCAGCTTCTGTATTTTAGGTGCTCCATTCAACTGAAAAATGTCATTTCCTCAAGGTGCTGGCAGCTGTGGGAATGAAAAGAAAAGGGAGGAAACACAAGGCTTAACCCATCAGGGTTAGTGCTCCACTAACACACCTGAGAGGAGCCCAAGCCATCTGTCTCAGTCCCTGACAGTTGCTGCTGGTGCCATTGACCTGGATTTTCACATCTTGCTTGGGCAATTAAGGGGAAACAGGGCAAGAGCTAGAAATGTAAAAGCATTGCTTGGCCCCAAAATCACAGAGCAGAGTGGGGATGTCAGGCTGCAGGAGGGGAACTGGTGAGCAGTGCAGCAGGCAGCATTGGGGTGGATGGCTGCAGCATCAATAGAGGGGTTTTTTATAGCAACCAGACGAAATGTAAATGATGTATCCACTTTCAGGAACATCTAATCACATTTCATATGGAGCCTGGATGATTGCTTATCACCTTCTTAGGGGTAATCTGCATAAGGAACCACAGCTCGATGGCTTTTCACCCTCCCCCACCTCCCCAAAGAAAGGGAAAAATCTAAAGTATGTTGTGCAAGAAACTAAATGGGTTCTCATCATAACATGCAAGTGGTTCCACTTGAAGCCAGTTATGTCTTGGTCCCCTGGGCACCTCCTGGCTCTCTCACAGTGTTGTTCACTCTCACAGACCTTGGTGACACTGAGGACCACAAGTCTTCCCTCTGAGAGGTTGAGCACTCACTGATACTCTCTCTGTGGGACTCCATTCTGAAAAAAAAAAAACAAAAAAAACCACCACATAAGCTTATGCTTCAGCCACTAATTTTTTTTTTCCAGCATTCTTTGAAAGCAGCAGGTATAACGAGGAAAAAATATTTTTTATTTCAGATGTGACGCCGGCTATACTGGACAACACTGTGAAAAAAAGGACTACAGCGTTTTATATGTGGTTCCAGGTCCAGTACGATTTCAGTATGTCTTAATAGCAGCTGTGATTGGAACCATCCAGATTGCTATCATCTGTGTTGTAGTCCTTTGTATTACAAGGTCAGTATCTCTGGTATTTTACAGTAGAAAGAGAAAAGACTTTTGTTTTTCCTGCAATGTGTGTTGATTATACCGATTTCTGCAGTGACACTGCTGATAACAAATGCTATTTAATTCACCCACAAACAGAAGATATCATCTGGTCCAGCCAGCAAGTGCTCCTTCATTATTATGACTGAATTTTTACTTCCATCTTAATCAAACTTAGGTAGCAACAGTGCCTACAGCAAGCGAAGTTCTCTATTTTGTATTCAGATGCTTGGACAAATATTGTTCATATAAATAGGGGAAATATAAATACAGCAGCTGGATCAACACTTAATAAAACTAATCATATCTCCATCTGGTTTCCTTAAGGGCCCATTCCCTTAGTCCTAATCAGGCAAAGCATACAGACTTTTAAGCCTGTTTGCAACCCCGCTGATTAAATGATTTCATTAGACTTGAGTGCATGTTCAAAGGCACTGCACATGTTTTAGGGTCTTCCATATATGATGTACTCGGGGTTTTTTTCTTTAGTGAGGAGCAGAGGGTTGTGTGAATGGAAAAAGCCCCAGGGTAGTTCAGAATGAGAGGGGTAAATGTAATTCTTCCCCTCCATGTGCTGCTCCACTCACCCACTTGACTGTGTTACTGTCTCTGGGAGGGCTTGGGGTAAGCTCTGAATGTCAAACATTTAAAAACTTCTCTTAGAAATCATAAGGTTTAATTAATTCAGTTAGCAGCACTGATAAATCGCTCTTTTAAAAAATTATTTTCTTTTTAAAATAAAAAAAAGCCAGGTATAATACCTCCATATAAAATAAAATCTCTATTTCAGCCCCTGTGTTGCACTACCTGGCTGGAAGACAAGTGTAGAGTATTTGTTCCAAGAGAAGAATAAAAAAAAAAAAATCATAAATCCTTCTCTGGCCTAAAGGCACAAACCAAAACCTTTTTTAGCCAGAGTTCATCACCTGAATGGCAACTGCCAAATGAGGCAGTAGATTACAGGAGGTGGTGTTCACAGAGGTAATTCAAAGAACCAAAAATACAGCATGTAATGAGAGAAAGAAAGTGGTGTAGTAATTGATAATGGAATAAATGTGTATTGTTTTGTCAAGTGAGTCTAGTTTTGTCACCTTGATGCAGTGAGCAAAGTACTTTATACTGAAATGAAGACAGGGAGCTCTGAGTGATCCAGTACTGTAATGCAAATTACCTGTCACACTGTTTTCATACAGAGACAGTGCCTTTTCCCCCACACTTTGTAACCAAGTCAATTTATGATCTTTTGACTTTTTTCTGTAATGCATGTAATTACTGCAGAGCATCCTCCATCCCAGCATAATGATTTGAGATACATTTGCAGAAGTGTGCTCTTAAGTGGCCTAAGAGAAATCCACCTGACAAGAGAGTGTTGTGGCAGCATATGCATGAGCAATTGAGTTTTTGAAGTTGTCTGCTTTGGAGAACCTGACTGTACTGGTTTGAACTCCACACCCTGAATTCTTGAAAGTGCTGAAACCACCTTGCCAGGCTCCTGGGAGAAAGAAGGGAAACTTCTTCATTCAGAGGGCATTGCGGCCAAATTCTTTGCTGCTCATTTCAGTGCAACTTCAGCTAATTAATAAATCAAGTGAGTTTGGTGCACTGCATCCATGTGAGCCTCACAAAACTACCACTGTAATCTTCCAGCTATCATTACTATTGTTGCTCTTAAAATTTTACCTGCGCAGTGGTGCAAATCTCTGGGGGCGTCCTCCGTTGCTGGAAGGCTCTCAGCAAGTCCTGGCAACTTTTAGGGCTGCTGTTGCACAGACACTTTAATCTGAATAAACAGGCTGCTGACAGATGAGGTTTGCCCCTGGCCCTTCCTCTGCCTCCTGGGCACTTGGCCCTCCAAGTTGCCACCATTACCATTTCTGTAGCCACAGAAGCAACAGAGTCAGAGGATGGACTCAGCTGAAAATGCAACCAGCAGCAGTGATGATGACTGGGGTTTAAGTGACTCGGTGTTTGGCTACTCATCACTAGTGCCAGCAATAAGTTTCTTGGGTGGAGGAGTAGGGAACCAAAGGCCAAGAGGTAAAACAGTGAGGCACAGTCTGCCCAAGGACTTTTAGCTTGGAGATAAGGCAAAAAAAGAAGCAGTGATTAAAGTGAAGGAGGATGGCAAATAATACAGGTATGGCCTAGTGTCATAATGATTCTCAGCAGTTTTCTTTGCAGCTTTGCATTTTTAGTGCTTCCCTAATGTTTAGTCACAGCAGCTTATTTATGTGAAGAAATAACTTGATTAAAAATGAATGCATAACGTGTTTTACCTGCTATGAATCACATTGTGAGTAACTTGAGCTCCCGAGCAAAGCTTCAGTGGAGGGAAGGAGGGAGGGCAGCCTGTGCTCCTGTACTTGGTTTACATCAATGTAACTGCTGTGTTCATAAATGAATGCACCCCCCACACAGTGCACTACAAAAGACTTTTGATTAAAGAGTTAAGAACCAAGGAAAACCTATCACACTCAGTTTTAGCAGATGATTAAGTCTCAAAAGCTGGTTAAACGCCAGTGCTCCCCTTAAGGACCCCTGCTGCACTTCAGACACAACCCACCTGTAAACGCAATAGCATTGTGTGTAAGCAGCTTGGGGCCTTCCCAAGCTCCCAGCCACGGGTAATGTACAATTGCAACATGGGCATTTTTGGTTCAAAGATGCTTTTTCATCATCTTAATTGGAGTAATCTCTACATTTGAATTGATTTCTCTCGAGTTTGAAGCGACTATGTAGATACCGTCAGTGTTGGTTTGGGGAAAGTGCCTATGAGATGTTCATCTCCTTGTGTCCAGCTGGAGCAGTTGGTATCCATCATGCACAGCTGCATCCCCTGGGATTGCTGACCATCCTCATCATCGCCCAGCCACCGGGCTCCTCCACATTTCATAGAAAATCAGTCTGGTTGTGCCCACTGTGCCCTGGTTGCCTAACCCTACTTCACAAGGCCGAGTGCTGGGGCACAGCAGGGCTGTGAATCCAGATGCTGGGGGCTCGGGGAGGAGCCCTGGGTGTTGGTGGGGCTGTCTCAGCCCGTGGCAGTGTCCCTGGCCGTGTCCTGCAGAGCACCACGAGGCTGTGCTGTGCCGGCTGGGCAGGAGGGGCTGCGCAGGGACAGCGGCCGAGGGCTCTCGGTGTGCCCGGGGTGCACAGGGAACCAGCCCTGTGCCTGCCAACAGCAGCTCCCTGCCTCACTCCCAAAGTCTGATGGCCTTTCCAGGGAACTCGCAGTGAATAATGAGTTTGTCATGAGCTCGCAGACCGGCTGAAGTCTGCCTGAGTTCCGTAATGAAAGCTCTGCCGTGACCCCTGAGAGCGCAGGAGACACAGCCTGGTTTTTCCTGGAGTAATGATAGCAGCCTACTTCACTGCTTCCCAGGAAGGAATGAGGCAAAATATAGCCCACAGCCATACAGCTTCTCATGAGGGGGTGGTCCTGGTGGCTTAAAAGTGAGGCAAGTCAGGACAGTCTGACCCATATTTTGCCAGACACTTACATAATTGTATTCCAGCATTTTTTAAAAATGCTTCCTAAGTTCTTATGCTCCTGTTTAGCCTTTCAGTTGACGTAACAAAACTATAACATCACTCCCATTCAACAGGGGGGAGAAAAAATGACCTTTTTTATTTTATTTTACTCTGTTCTGCTCATAGTTATTTGACACAGAGCTGCAGGAAAGTGCTTTAAGCTCTCACTGCACTGAGGTGGGCTCTCCCCAGTGCATAACCCATAGGGTTTCACCTGGTGCTGCTGAAAGCCCTCCTGTAACAGAAGAACAAGTCAGCCCCATACAAAGGGAATTTTTTTTCCATGTCAGTGTCATCTGGAGTATTGTGGGGCCCCTTCTCACAGCACTCCAAGGAAGTGTTTCAGTTTCTGTTGTGCAGCTGCCCACAGTTTTTACCATAACCACCCTTGGCTTTCAGCTGATTAGAACATCCTGTGGTCTCCACCTGGGATTAAACGTCTCCATGCTTTCTGCCTGAGGGTGCCTTTCCATGAGAGGAAGCCAGAAACACACCATTAGCTTTCCATTAGGGAGAAATGTAGCATCCCCAGAGCAGGTGCTGCTGCAGGTGAAAGGTGGAAACGTGCCCTTGCTGAGGAACACTGGAGCTCCTGAGACAGGAGGGGTTTGCCCCTGCAGCTGTCCAAAGGAATATCAGATCTGGGGCTTTCCACAGCAAGCCCAGCAGCCGTGGCATGGTGCAGTAGCTGTTTGCTCATGGGCTGAGCACGGAGCATTGCCATGGAGACTCAGGGGAGCTGCAGACACTTAGGGCCTTGGAAAGTCAGCCCCTGCAGCCTCTTTGTAAGCACTTCACAGACCTGGGATGCTGGCCAGGTGAGCATGGGACCATCCTGGATCTCCCACCCGCACCTGGCTCAAAATAAACCCATTATTTAAAGCTGAACAACGCGGTGCGCTTGGCATCATTGCAATGCAGCAGGAGTGTCCAGGGTTCAGGAAACCAAACATCTCCTTTGCCATAATTTTGTTCACAATATGTGTTTGGGGGTTGTGTTGGCTTTTTTTTTTTTTTTTTTTTTTTTTTTTTTTTTTTTTTTTTTTTTGTTTGTGGTACCATTGCCCTTAGCCAGCTGGTTTCATTTCACTGAGGAGGAAGCACACTGAGGGCTGCAGGATGCCCCTCTCGCCCTCACGTCCCTGCTGCACCCTCTACCTCTGGAGCAGATGTGTTGCTAAGAGCTGTGTATTCTCACAACTCTCTTTTCCAGGAAATGTCCCAGGAGCAACAGAATCCACAGACAGAAGCAAAACACAGGGCACTACAGTTCAGACAACACAACAAGAGCATCGACAAGGTTAATTTAAAGAGCGCATGTTTCCACAATGGCAAAACTAACTGCAGAGAGCTTGGACTACAAAATACAGTATTATAGACAAAAGATTAAGACAAGATCTACACATGTTGCCTTGCATTTGTGGTAATCTACACCAATGAGAACATGTACTACAGCTATATTTGATTATGTATGGATATATTTGAAATAGTATACATTGTCTTGATGTTTTTCTGTAATGTAAATAAACTATTTATATCACACAATATAGTTTTTTCTTTTTCATGTATTTGTTATATATAATAAATACTCAGTGATGAGAAAAAAATTGCCTTTCTTAAATTTGCTGTATCTCATAGCTGTGTATAGTCTTGGGATATTGTGTATGGACACTAACAAGTCTCTTTTTTTTTCTTTTTCCAGTTCTAGTGGCAATTTTGAGTCTACTGAACTCAGTAGTAGGGTTTTGAGTTGGTCCAAGATCAGCGACAATTATGGATGTGGGAAAGGTGAAGAATAATTTAACCTACATTGAGGAGGGATAAAATATTTCAGATCCGGAGTCAACTACATTTCATCAGCCTTCTTCTCCCATGCCATCTATCTTTACTCTCCCATAGCTTAGGAAGTCTTTGCCTTCTAAATTAAATCCTAACCGAAGGGGAAATGGAAATTCTCGGTAACCGCAATGAGAGTGTCGGGGGTAACGTTTCCATTTGGGATGGAATTAGGTGCCTGTCAAGGTGAACCCTATGAGAACACTTGGCAGAATCTCCAACTCTGGTCACTGGAGTGAATGAAAATTGCTTCTCACTCTTGATTGAAAATTATTAGGTTAAAAAAGTTAATAACATAATAACAGCTGAAATGCCAGTCCCATTTGCACTTCGTGAACATGCTGATATAATTTATTTTTTCAAAGAGAAGGTGAAAAACACTCAGAAAATACCTTATGAATAACTTTATGGGTGACCCTACTCCATTAAATGTAATGAACCCAAATGTTAGCTATACCTCAGGAAAATAAGGGCATGTGTTTTGTCACATCCATATGATGGACAAGATGCAGAGTTAGTTCTGTGACAGCTGAAGCTCTCCAAAGCACATCCTTTCCAGAAGGTAATTCTGCTCAGTTTGTGCTGTGAATTTTGAAGACGGCAGAGTGAGACTGCAGGGCAGAGTGGGGTAACATCCCTGCTGCTGGATAACATCCTCTGCACTGAGTGCTCAAGCTCTAGCCCTTGTAAGAGCAGTCACTGTGCTGCTCCTCTCCAAAGAGACTTTGGCCAGGCAGAACATGCCCAAGACAAGAGTTAGGAGTATTTCTCACTGTCATCACCATGTCAGAGTCAGACCTGGGGTTACCTGGGATGATGTCTCATGAGTGTGTTTCCATTTCCTGCTTCAGCATCCATCTGGTCACTCACAGCAGTCACCACCAACCCCACCAGTGACAGCCCACCCGGCCTGGCCCTCAGACACGGGTGCAGAGATTCTTCTACTCTAACACGACTTTTGGTCTCCCCCTCCCTACCCCAGCCTGCTTTAAAGTGAATCCATTGCATGATGTTCACACGGTCTCAGTTTTTGTCTTGTTCTGGGTTTCTTGGCTTTTTAAAGGTAATAAAAGGTGATTGGCAAGAGATGCTTCCAGACACCTGGTCTGTGCTGATTGATGGGAGTGGGAGTGGTGCTTGCACAGGCAGAGGGGCAGATGATGGCACAGGGCAGCTCTCTGACACTGGGGTGCTGGCCCTGCAGGGACCTTCTGCTCCCTGGAACTCCAGGCTGGGCCAAGGCAGAAGGAGAGGGGGCCATCTAGCCAGCCTCTGCTCCTCAGCCCTCACCCCAGCTGTCCAACATCAGATCCTTGCTTTCAGATTGAAAGAGTGATAGAGTGGGGCAGGAGCGCACAGCAGAGGCTGAGAGCAGATGTGATCCTGGCTGGCTGCACCACAGGGATGTTTCCATGCTCAAACCCACTGCAGGATACTCCTCTCTGTCCCAGTCCTTGCAGGTTTTGTGTCCCACGCTCAGCTCGGCCGGGGTGGTCTGACAAGGAGCGCAGGCCAGGCACAGCAGCACTGCACTGCACAGGTTTGGTGGCACAAGATCCCCTCTAGGGAGACTTTGCAAGCTCTGGTAACTCGTGCCCATGTGGCATTACAATGTCCCTCCTCAGACCTCTCCATTGCTACACCTGACAGCGATGGCAGGGGCTCCTCTGCAGGAGAAGCACTTCAGCAGCAGGATGAGGGTTAGGCTGGAAGAGGCAAACGTAGCCCTTCCCTGCAGACACCCTCCCTTTGTACGCTGTGCTTCCTGAGCGAAGAGTTGGAGTCTAACAAGCATCAAAACCATATAGTTTGAGCCGATTCCAAATGTGAGTCCCCCCACTGGGACTATCAGGTCTGGATTGTTTATGTTGGTTGCTTACATTAGATACAAAAATCAAACATTAGCACATACACATCGCCATGGAGCTATAGCAATAAACCTAATTAAAAAGGCAAAGTTTGGCCTGGACAAAAATAGCACAGCATCACTTAGGAGTGAAAATAGGAGTCCGACACACTGTCTCCAAACTTCCCAACATTATGAGCCTGCCTTTCACAGAGCAGTGGCACATTTAATCCCCAAACAGTGTTGGCCAGGTGTCATTAGCTGCATCCCCAGCTGCAGGGCCTGTCACAAAGCCTCACACCTCCCCAGCATGGCCAGTGTTTAAATGTCTGCTGCAGACAGGAGGGCAGAGAGGGGAAAGGGATTTTGTTCTTAACACACGGGGCAGGTCACACCTCTTTCGGTCTCTCACACTTAACCTTCAACATGCTGGCATGGGCACAAAGTCTGACAGTAACAGTGTCTTGGGGTTGTACCTACAGGAACGGAGATTTCTACCAAAGACACGTGCAGAAACTACAAAACACAGCAAATTTGGAGATATGGACTTTTCCTTTTATGGGGGGTCTGGAAAATATGTGTTTGTTAGATCCCCATGCTGGCCAGAACTCGAGATGTGGCAATGTCTGTGCAGTGTAACAGAAGATGCAGAAAGGGGCGCTGGGCACATGGGCAAAGCCATGGCTGGGAGAATTGTGCCATGCACCAAGGGAGAGCCCAGCTCCTCTACTTGGAGTCACACAGAGGGGTGAAAATGTGTTGCTGTTTGTCCTCTTCCCAGTGCGTGCTTCAGCAGCCTGAGCACAGAGCAAGGTCGCTTGTGATGCCCACGGAGATAGACCTTGGGGAGAGCAGTAATTCATCTGTTTGGGCTGTTTCATGGGCTTTTTCTGCATGGCACAATGGCAACTGCAAATAACCTCAACTACCAGCATTCACCTACTTTAAAAACCACACTAAATGACAAAATGTGCCAAAACCACTGAAAATACCAGTATTCCACACTCAACATGATGGCTTTGGGGCAACATACATGGCCCAACAGCCTGCAGTCACTTCCTGCTGCTGTTTTACCACAAGCCACACTGGAAGGTATAAAAGGTAAAATTAAGAGGTAAAAATAGGACTGTTGGCACACCCATTCCCTAAGGAACAGCCTGTAACATTCTTGGAGCAAGAAACCGTGTTCTTATTTTGTATGTGATGCATTTATCACAACAGCTTCCTGACCTCAGCCCTCAAAACAAAGCCAGGCATGCTATTGGCAGAGCCCCTCACCCTCCCCAGCCTAGGATGGTCAGATGGTGTCCAACACCTTCGTGCCTTCGGACGCTGGGCTGGATCCCAGCCCATAAGGAACTCACCTGCAGCTACCACCCTGACTGACTGCAGTGGTGGGGCGTTGTGGAGGCGTGTGTGTGTGACACACACCTCACCTTTCCCCTGCCCAAATGCTGCATTACAGGACAGGAACAGCCCCATGCCTCACCACCATGGTGCTTCTCCTTAAAGTCTAATCAGGTGTTCATTATCGGTTCCTTTCATCCAAAGATAATAAGACATGATTTACATTACCATTACAAAAATATTATAATTAATGAAGGGATGCTGGACCCCCTATTCTAACTGCTTAGAATAGATGTGTTCCTGCTCCATCAGGGTGTCACGGCACGGGCAGCTCTGGTTTTGCAGCGGCTGTCAGTGCCAGCCGTGCTGGTGGCGGGGATGCCCAGGTGTGTCCCGTGCACAGGTTAACGCGGCGCGCAGGTGGGCGCGGGTGCCGTCTATGGCTGCCTCCTCTCTTCCAGAAGCAGCCCTCAAAAAGCCTCATCTTCAAAGAGCTCTCTAAAGCTTCTTTGAAAACAAAATGATTAAAGGCTATCTTCCCTCTCATCCAACATCAGACACATCGCACGCCGCATCCTTGCTTTCACCCCTGATTATGCATGCGGCTTCTCCCAGCTCCCAGTTTTGCGTCGGCATGGAAGTTACAGCCCCGAATTAAAAGCGAGGTTCATTACTGCACATCAAAGCCGGCGCTGTGCCTCGGCCAGCCTGGCCCTTTCTTTAATTTATGGGTGCATGGCCAGGCTGCAGCTCTGCCTGTGAGGCGTCTGCAGCCCCCACAGGTTTGTAAGGCACGCTGAGGGTGTCTGGCACTGTTGGTGGGGCTTTTCCAGAATAGTCAACACCCTCAGCCGAACTTGAAGGCAGATGGAGAAACACTGGGTCATCACACATTAAGTTTTTAGAGTAATTTAAAACTATTATTATTAATAATATAAATAATACAAATATTGTAGCTGTATTCCTGGTCTTGACAGGCCTCTTACACTATGCTCTGTCTGACATGGAAGCCAAAATCTCATTTTTTTGCCCCACACACACACACAGCATCTGGGATGCTGCACCCTGACAGTGCCACCAATGCAGCCTCTGCTGGCACCTGCAAGCAGAAGGGGCACAAGGAACAGACACAGCAGCTCCTACCCTGCCAGCCCTTCGACTGATGCTGAGCTTTCAAATGCTTGTCATATTAGGTGAGCTTAATTTATTTTAGTTTCAGTTTAATTAACAGTTTTGTCACAGCAGGAGGGCTGTTAAAAACAGAGATGTACGTAAAAAGAAAAGAAAAAAAAAAGGCAGGATTTTTGTCAACTTTTCCTTTTTTTCTTTTTTTTTTTTTTTATTTGCCGTATTGAATGCGAGCCACCAGGCAGTAAAATATTCCGCAGTCTCACACAGCAGCAGCCAAGCTGCAGAATGAAAAAAAAAAAAAAAAAAGCATGCGAGGAATCCGCTCCATAATGCTAACGAGGTGGCACCCGCTTTTTCAAAGGAACGGGAGGCCCGTTTCGCTCAGCCCAGGAGGAGCCTTGGGGTCAGACCCTCTCCCATCTGATTTTCCCTGGGCTGTGGGAGGCGTGCAGCCTGGGGGTGTCCCGGCAGCCGCAGGGACACGGAGGTGACCCGGCCAGCGCCGCCCGCCCTGCGGGGACAGCGGCGCCCGGCCCCGAGGAAACGGCACCGGCAGGAGGAGAACGGTGAGGAAATGTTGTCATGCCTCACGAACTCGCCACGAGAGAAGCTTTACAAGGGGCTTGGTGTACATGGGGGCACTCGGAAAAGAGGCAAAATTAAGAGGTAAAATTAAGAGGTGCAATTATTCGGGGTAAGATCCGGGCTCCCAAGGCAGAGCGGGCGGCAGCCACCGCCCCGGCGGCAGCGCTGGCTCTGCGGGGCGGCTTTCGGCAGGGCAGGGATGAGCACAGAGGTGAGGCACAGCCGTGTAATGTGACCTGAATTAGCGGCTATAGATAGTGCTTCCTGCGTGTTTTACATTTTCAAATAAAAAGGATCTTCTTGTTTAATGGTTAATAAAAATGATTAGTGCTCCCAGGGCACGGATCCTGACAGATGCAGAGCGGGCTGCGGGGACCAGCTACAAGACACGAGAGAAGAGGAAACCGATGATTTTATTTTTTTTTTTTCTCCTGTGGAGTACA